TGTTGAAATAATAGGTTAATTTGGGAATCATGGACATCTTTACAGTATTCAGTGTTCCAGTCTATGAAGATAGTATACATTCCTTAATTTACTTAGAACATCTCTAGTTTATCTCATTAACGCTATAGTTTTTTGTGTAGAGTTAATAATGCAATATAGGCTTCCTTCAGATTTAAAGTCTTCTTTTATAGTGGTCAAATAGTTTGGATGAACCATTTATATTTTCCTGGAGGTATTACTACTTCAAATCCTTGCATATTAAAAATCATGCTACTTGCCTCACAAGCGCAAGGACCTGAGTTCGATCTCCAGTACCAAAAATAAAATCATGCTACTGAAGTCCTTGCCCAGTGTAAATGGTTGAGACCTGATCACAGCTTCTGGTCAGGGTCTTCATCTTTTCTATTACTTAGCTGAGCTGAACAGAGCGTGTCCAGAGACTTTTAGCTTGTGTCTAGATGTCAAGGCAGGCTAATGTTGAGCCAGTGGCATGGCTGCTGTTGGGCCGCTTTAGCCTGCCTTGAAATTTCTTCTGAGATTAATTAGTCCGCCACCCTTAATCTCAGACTCAGGCAAAGTCTGGACACAAAAAATGCAGATAAACCTTCTGCCAAACCATAACACACACCGTCTGGAGTCCAGCAGCCAAAATTATTCTACTACTTGTAAATCTTGGTCTTGGTCTCCACTGCATTCTGATCCATTGGTTCTCTTCTGCCTTTCTTACCATGCCTTACCCTCTGGGTTCACATGACTTAGAGCTTACTGTACCATATTGAAATCAGTGATTCACATGCTAGTCTTCTTAGCTGAATAGTAAATTATGTAAGAACCAAAAATGAGTCTCATTTTTCCTTATGGCTCCAGTGCCTACCACAGTGCCTGATGTACACTGTGGTCCTGTTAAACGTGGAAACGAAGACTACATTACTGGTCTTTATTACTTTTGCTAAGGAAGAAGCAAGATTTGCATTTCTACTGTCTCTCCATTCCAATGATAGTATCAGAGTAATTTTTGTTTTGGTTTTTTGAGATGTAATATTGCCGTATCGCCTAAGCTGACCTCAAATTTCCTAGGCTCCTGTGGTCCTCCTGCCTCAATCTCCTAAGGAGCTGAGACAACAGATATGCACCACTGTGTCTGGGAAGATAATGCAAGAGTTTTGGTGTTTGCATGCTTGTTTGCAGTACTGGGGATCTAACCAAGAGCCTTACTCAGGCAAGACAAGTGCTCTACCACTGAGCTACAACCCCATCCTTGTTTTGTGTTTTTGAAGTGCTGGGGATCCAACCCAGGGCCTCACACATACATGGTAGGCAAGTGCAGTACCACTAAGCTACAGTCCCAGCCCCTGAATAATTTTTTTTTCCTGTACAGAATGGAACTCAGGACCTTTCGCTTGTCAGGCAGCTGCTGTGCCACTCAGCTACATCTCTGGCCTTTCCAGAATTATTTTTATTGTTTGTTTGTGTATTTATTTGTATGTTTGTTTGTTTATTTATTTTAAAACTGTTAGGAATTAATTTAATTTTTACAGATGATCATGACATATTAGGTGGTTTGATTTTCTTAAATCTGTACCAGACCATAACCTCAAAAATGTTAATGTTGAAAGGTAGTGCAACAATGTCTATTAACAAAACTGCTTAATAATGTTGAGAAACAGCACGAAACACTTTTTCTTTTACAGCTACCTTTCTAAATCCATTCTCAATGCATTCTCTCTCCCTTTCAGAGTATCAGTTGTGCAGACTGAAGAGGTGAAAAATCAATTTCTTTTTTTAAAAAAAAAAACAAAGTAGAGCCTATTTACAAAACATGCAAAAGAATTTTACGTAAGGTGTTACTGTAGAACTAGCTTAAAGGGAATACAGCTGGGGGACAGAATATACCTTTACGTCTACAAATATAGGTCCTTTTCCCTACTTTCTGGAAGAAATACATTGTTTAGGGCATGGGCTATAAAACGGCATACAGTGCAAAGACAAAAAGAAAGAGTTTGTAAATCCTTTATATTTCCAGCAGGTGAGATAATATACTTGAGGGCTGAGGTTAAGCAGCCAGAATGCAACAGTGATTGAATACATGACCATTTCTCTTTTAGCAGGTTCTTTGTTCTCCTCTTCTAGAAGTTGTAGACGTCTATTTAGTTTGATTATCTGTCGTCTTAATGAAGCTGCATCTACAACATTCATGTCATCTGCCGCTCCTTCAACTGTTGGATCTATATTTGAAATGCCACACATAGAATCATTTCTGACCAGCTGTCCATTTTGGCGAACAGCATTTTCACTCATAGAGCACTCTCTTTTTAGCCTGCCAGCTGCACGGATCTGTTCATCATTTTGAGGGGTTGGAGGAGGTCTTTCTATGTCCAGAAAATCTAGTGGTCTTTCATTTAGTGTAAGTACACGAGGTGGTATTTTTAGTGGCAGAGGTTTTAAAGGAGTAGACTGAATAAGGTCAGGATCTGCTGGTCTTGAAAATGAAATGTCTTCATTATTTCCTGCTACAACAATCCTCTCTGGAACTTGCATTATCACACTAGCATTTGGAAGTCCTTCTTGGAATACTTGTTTCAGGTCAGGATTTGGTGGTGCTACTTTTAATTTTTCCAGGACCCTCATTTGCTGACTAATGCCTTCGGTGTATTCCATTTCATACTGAATTTGACTAATTTCTGCCATCTCAGCAGCAGTGGGAGAAGGAAACGCTGCCACACTAACCAAATGTGTACCAAGTACCGCTTGCTGTTGGCACTATCTGTTTCTGTGCTTCATATTAAATCCTTAACTGGATTCACTGTGCATGGTCTGGACTTGGAGCCACTGGTGTCCCCCGGGTCCTCCGCAGAGTCGCGCAGAGGGCCGCCGCCCGCCGCCTCCCGGGGCACTCTCAGAGGCCGTTCGTTGGCCGAGCGCCTGCAGTGGGCAACCTGGGCGAGGCACCCGCAGAACGGCCCACAGAAGGCCGGGACAGACGCGGAACATCTGGGCTATTGTTTATTTATTTTTAAAATAAATTTTATTTTACTTTATCTCATTCCCCCCCTTAACCCCCCTCCCCTCCCTGTGTACAAAAGCTTTGTTTCCATTTTTTTCTTGTCCCTCCCTTCCTTTCTCCCTCCCTCCTCCCTTGTTCCCCTCCCATTTGAACACTTTCTTCCCATTTCCCAACATCCATTATACACCTCAGTCCTTATTTCCACATTCAGTTTCTCACACCAGAGAAACAGTGCAGTACGTAAACATGTGTCTGATTTCACTTAAGAATATGGTCTCAAGGTCCGTACAGTTAGCTATAAATGTCTGAAGCCCATCCCTCTTTATGACAGGATTTATGGTACTCCGTTGTATAAGAAAAACACATCTTCTTTATCCACTGGTCATCCACTGGTTGATGGGCATTTGGGCTGCTTCCAGATTTAGCTGTTACAAACTGCTGCCATAAACATGGGTGTGCATATATTGCTATGGTATGATGTTTTTAGTTCTTTCGGGAAGATACCAAGAAGAGGTATAGCTGAGTCAAAAGGAACTTCTAGTTTTAGTTCTTTGAGAAATCTCCACACAGGGCCGGGGATTTAGCTCAGTGATTTTGGTGCCATCCTCGAAAGTGCAAGGTCCCAAGTTGGATGCCCAGTACCCAAAAAAAGAAAAAGAAGAGAGCTACAGTTTAGGGGCCGGGGATTTAGCTCAGTGGTTTCGCCGCCTGCTGCACAAGCGCAAGGACCCGAGTTCGATCCTCGATACCAACAGAAAAAAAGAGAAATCTCCACACTGATTTCCACAGTGGTTGCACCAGTCTACACTCCCACCAGCAGTGGAAAAGGGTTTCTTTTCCCCACAGCCCCGCCAGCATTTGTTATTGATTGATTGATTTCTTTTTTTTTTGGTACTAGGGATCGAACTCAGGACCTTGTACTAGCCAGGCAGGCACAGTGCCACTGAGCTACCCCACTGTTTGATTTTGGGGGGGGGGGGGTTAACCAGGGATTGAACTTGGGACCTTGTGCTTGCCAGACAGGTGGTGAAACCACTGAGCTAAATCCCAGGCCCTCTTTTGATTTCTCGATAGCAGCCATCCTTTATGGAGCGAGATGGAATCTCAGCATTGTTTTAATTTGCATCTCGATGACCAGTGATGTTGAACATTTTTTCACGTATTTATTTGCTGTCAGAATAATTTTTAAACCTGAGCTCTGATTATAATTTTGTATTTCAAAGACTTCAGTAAATCATTGCCTACTGTTTCTGAGCTTTGTCATTCACATTCCTCTGTAGTCCTTTGTGTGCCTAAAAACCATATAATAATTAAACTGGGCTACCTGCTCTTGCCCCTTTTTTATAGCCCCATGCTTTTGTCAGCATTGTCTCTTCTACATGGGCTTTACCTGTCAGTCTTCCCACTTCAGAAATACAGTAGAAATGCCGCTGCCTCCGTAAAGCTTTCTGTCATTCCTGCCTTCTCTTGTCATCTTTGTCTGAACTCTTACTTAGTGCTTTGTGGCATGACATTATTTTCATACCCCAGTAAGTGATAAATCCCCTGAGCAAAGGTTGACCTTTGTTTTCTCTGCTGTTTCTAATTATTGCATTGGATATAAATTACATTGACTGTAAATTAACTTTTGGTATTTTAGTTTTAAGGCAACTGGTCAAAACAACTGTCAAAATTCTTCCTCTGCATTGACCTACAAATAAATGCATTCAAATCAGAATCTATGTAGGGCTAAGCAATATATTTATTCCTGGAACTTGGGTTTAGGAAGATTTTTTTTTCCAGAATGACATCTACTATTTTCACACTTTTTTTCTTTTTAGTGCATATTGATTATACAGATTAAGGAGTTCCATTTTAGCAGATTTGTACCTGCACATGATATATTTTAATCATTTTTCACACACCCCCTCCCCTAGCCTTCCTTGCCCACTGACCCCCTGGTGACACTGTTGCATTACTGACCAGTCTTTGTGTGACTCTCCTTCTCCTCTTCTAGGGCACTGTCTTCAGTCTTGAGTCCGAGGAGGAGGAATATCCTGGCATCGCTGCAGAAGATAGCAATGACATTTACATTCTGCCCAGTGACAATTCTGGACAAGTCAGCCCCCCAGAGTCACCAACCGTTACAACCTCTTGGCAGTCGGAAAGCCTGCCTGTCTCAATGTCAGCGAGCCAGAGCTGGCATACAGAAAGCCTCCCAGTGTCCCTTGGCCCTGAGTCCTGGCAGCAGATTGCAATGGATCCTGAAGAAGTCAAAAGCTTGGATAGCAACGGAGCTGGAGAGAAGAGTGAGAACAACTCTTCCAACTCTGATATTGTGCATGTGGAGAAAGAAGAGATCCCTGAGGGTGCGGAGGAGGTGGCCGGGGCTGCTTCTGCTGTGCCTACCAGGGAGCCACAAGAGGCTTTGCCCGGAGCCCCTGCTCCCTTGCTTCCACACATCACTGCCACTTCTTTGCTGCAGACAAGGGAACCTGACCCGGAAGTGATCACAGTTGAGGAAGTCAGCCCTGCTCCATCTCTGTTCGTAGAACTCAGTGAAGAAGAGGTAAGAGCAGCCACCATGGAGCCTCATGAAGTGGATGAGGGGGTGCCCCCTTCACTGCTGAGGGAAAAGGAGGCTCCTGTGAGGAAGGAGAGGCTCAGGAGGGAGTGCCCCCCTGCCCAGGAGGTAAAGGCCCTCCCCGTGCCTGAGGCCAAGTCTGTACTGCTCTTCGGAGGGGCTGCTGCTGTGGCCCTCCTGGCAGTGGCAGTTGGGGTCGCCCTGGCTCTGAGAAGAAAATAGTGGCTTTTTCAGAAGAGAAAGAAGATGAAAAGGGTCTAAGGTTTTAGTTGTATTAGCTGGAATTTGAGGTGCCAGCATCTGATTGGACATTTAAGGAACACGCTGAGAGAATTGGGAATGTCTGCTCAACAAGCAGTGGCCTGACCCACACATTGGGGCCAGTGGTAGATAGAGTGCATTCACTATGATCTCATCGTCAGTTCCAAGGGCCTTGGCTCGTGCTAGACTCAGAATCATGACTAAAGTACTCCCTGTAGAACAGGGTTTCTTGGCGTTTCAATGCTCCCCTGTTAGAGAGGCTCCTGTGAACTGGAGGATGTCAGCAACGTCGCTGGCCTCTGCCCACTAGATGCTGGTAGCACCCCATCCCAGTGAGGAAACCAAAAATGTCTCAGACATTGCTAAATGTCCCCTGTGGGCAAAGTCACCCCCTGTGGAGGTCCACTGCTTTAGAGGGAGAGGGTTACTTTTGGGAAACCCAGGGTAGAAACTCCCAGGCTTAGCTGTGGGTTTAGTTTGTCTTGATGAACAGCCTGTGTTCCGCAGCAGCTCCTCTTTTGCCTCCTCTTCCCCCACCATCCTGTAGTGTAAGGGCGCTGTCCCTGGGTCACACCACCCCACAGGCACTGTGCTGCTCTTCTCCCCATGTCCCCAGGCGGTCTGTGCGAGAGGGTTCATCTGCCCCATGCCTCTGCCATGCCCGATGAGCCCCCGAGGCTTCCTGCAGCTTCACTTTGCAGAGATGCTGCCTTTATGAATCTTGAAAGAATTAAATAGACAGTAACAAAAATCCAGGCCCAGGCTTCCCTAACCTGTAAGTTACTGGCTGCAGAGACATCTGTCTTTAGAGGCAGGGTGGTGACCCGACCAGGGGGCCTCTTCAAGCCCTTTTTGTCACGGTCACCCCACTTTCCTGTAGTGACTGGCTTGCCAGCACCTCGGGGATCGTGTGCTGCTGTCTGGCCCTGGGTCAGTATATTCCAGTATCTGGCCTGTCCCAGGACTGGTTGTCCAGCTCTGTGGGTCTCTTATTATGTGGTATTATGAGGATTGTCATCCTCACACTTACAGAGCGAATTGGGACATATTAACTGTGCTATCATTGAAATAAAATGATAAATATTTTATCAATCCCAAATATCACTGAAATTTAAAGTGAGAATAAAAAGCTTAAACTTTAAGTCTGAGGCTACCGTGAGGTTCTAGTTTGGCCTTCACAGTATGGAGGCCTCTTCACCTGAACTCTTCACGGCCCAGATGCCAAGGGAAAGAAGCTGGAGGGACCCAGGCCACTGTGCGGTTGAGGGGCAGCATGGCTGATCCCACCCCTCAGGAGGGGTGGGGCTGTGTCCTTTCACAGCTGAGGGGCACAGTGACTCTGCAGGGCCCACAAGCTTGATAAGAAGTCATCTCAGATTTATCTTAGTGGATGTAACAAATTACTTTTTAGATCCTGAAATTTATAATAAAAATACTTTACCTACCCTGATCACTAAGACCTGACGTTTTGAATGTGCTTTCTTTTTAAAGTTAAATTTTGAAAATCTCCTAAAGCAATACTTTTTTTTTTTTTTTTGGTACCAGGGATCGAACTCGGGCCCTTGCACTTGTGCAGCAGGCAGCGAAACCACTGAGCTAAATCCCTGGCCCCCTAAAGCAATACTTTTTAAAGCTGGTTAAGAAGAGACCGGGTGTGTATTCGTGTTTTACAGACCTATCATCCTCTCTGTCTCTGTTCCGAATCTCAGTGTCCAGTTAGAGAGTGATACAGTGGGGCTCAGTTCACAAACGCTTTTTGCAAAGTTTGGTTTGCAAACAAGCATTTGCCAACAGCATTTGTTTTTGTTTGCAAACTCTGCATCGGGTGGCAAACACAGGTATAGCCATCTTTCCCACACAAACACAAAGGTGGCCATCTTTCCAGAATCGTAGAACAGATGAAGTTCGTGAACCGAGGTAGCACTGTGTTTGTGAGGGTTTGGATGTATCTTGGTGTGATGTGGCTGGAGGTGAGGGCAGAACAAGGCGAGGGAGGTAATGTTGTCTCCTTGGGCTCTGCTAGTTGCCCGGGATTAGTGTGTACTCTAATTGTTATATTTGTGTTTGCATAGGTTAAGAGCAGAGGGACTGGTAAGTTCCCTTGATTTTTTTCAAAAATCTTTTCACAATAAAGTATTTTCCTTCCAGTGTTACTCTGGATCCTCACAGCTATTGGCTGAGCACATTTAAGTGCTAACAGAAGTTTGGTTGTTTTGTGAGCTGCTAAGAGGCAATAAATATGTGGCTTAGATATTTTGGGTCTGTATTCTCCACCAAGGCAAGAATAAGGAAGCCATGAGTTGAGCTGACACTTGCTACTTTTTTATTGTCCCACCCATTGAACATTAAAGTATTTTGGCCAAGTATATTTTCAGGGTGATGGTAAATACTCTCTTCCGTTGACTTTCCTGAGTGATAGAGTTTGTCAGAATCTCTATTCTTTCTTCACTTCCTTCTTTGCTCCCCTGGCCAAGGGCCCACATTGAGGGTTGCTGCTTACTGCAGCTCCTGGGTTTTGCAGGTACATATTTAAAAAATTATTTCTCAAGTCCTTCTCCTCTTTTAGGGCCTGATAGGAGGCCCTTCCTTCTCATTCCCTGACTCACATAATATCTAACTCTAGGTGAAGGAGAGATTCAGAATACACCCAGTTTAGAGACTGCAGGTATCAGAATTAAGAGCATCACCCCATTTGTCCTCCTGCATTCTTTGTGAACTGTACAGGGAAAGTTTGATTAGTTCTGTAGGACTTTTTTTTGTAGCTGAGGTTCTCTTGGGCCTTGTCCATTTTAAGCACATGCTTGACCACTGAGCTACACCCTCAGCCCTCTGTAGAACTCTTAACTGCTCTATTGAATGTCATGATTTCTTATCACTTGGCATAAAGCCAGTGAAGGTTTTCTCAGAAAAATACAAGGGTTAAAGAATGTCAGCTCATCCTCTGTACTGATGTGGTGATTCAGAGCCCACAGACCCATGCCTTAGGAGGACACTCAGGATCTTTACTGCCCTCTAGGGCACATTCTTGGTCAGGGAACAGATTGTTGACCTGATTGTGCATCCCCCACCCCAGGGCATCCCTGATTCTTCTGCTTGCTGGTGTGCCTGTCCATCTCACAGCAAATGCAGCCACCGCCTAGGTTTGGGGGCAGTAAACAGTGAACTCAGAGATGTTTTGAACCACAACCGATGGTCTCAGGCTTTGTGCCAGTTCCATCTGATGATACAGAAGCAATGCCTGCTCCTTGGCGTTTTCTCTGAAGGTGTGTGTGTGACATGGACATTTGACTTTTGGATTAAGAGCCATTTCATAGAAATAAAAGATTGTGTAGGTAAGAATTTTTTCCTTTCTCAGTTTCTTTTCACAGATTCTCTTCCACAAAACTTGAGGTATAATGACCATATTATTTAGCAAGAGGGTCCATACTTGATCCCTGATAGGCTCAACTGTTCATTCACTGTGCCAGAACCCAGACTTGCTGTTAAATAAAGATCACCTCCCCACTGGGAGATTAGTGTTTAGGAGGTGCTTGTTTTCCATATTAGTGTCCTCTTCCTAGAAAAAAACTGTAGGAAACTTTAATTTTTGCAGATGTTGAGCATTTGCAACATGCCTGTAGTTGTTGCAGTGCTCTCATGGGCCTTAGTACACCTGTACCTTTGTGGTTCTGATAGCTATTCCTATCCCTTTGCTTCCCATAACACTGAGAGTCTTATGTAGCCCAGGCTAGCTTCAAAACTCATGGCAGGGGTTGGGGATGTAGTTCAGTGTCTCCACGCCTGCCTGGCAAGTGCAAGGTCTTGAGTTTGATCCCTGGTATAGATGTTGGGGTGGGGGGGACGACTTCACAGAAATCCTGCCTCAGCCTCCCAAGTGCTGGCGTGATACATGTGCAACACCATGCCTGGCTGCTGTTTTGTCCAGGTTCTTATGCTGTGATTGTGCAAAGTTGGCAGTGTTGGTGGGCTGGGACAGGGGCCAAGACTAAGTGCCAGCCCGCAGCCGTATGCGTCTTTGCTCTGCTCGCCTGTTTGGTGTCTATAGAGGTACTGTATCGGTGTAAGTGCTGAGCGTGTTCTACTGTGGAAAAATAAGGTGGTGGCCAGGGCTTCTCTGATGGCACCAAATGGATGTCTTCCCTCAGTGCCAGATGAGGTCCTTGTCATTGCTGGTGACTCTTCACCAGCTCTTAGTGTGCTGGTTTGCTTGTGAACAAGGCTGTGTGATGTGACACAGGAATCAAGTGCCGAGTGGGACAGGTGAAAGTGCTGACACATTTTTCTCTTCTGGTTCTTGGTCCCATCGCTTTTTCCTTGCGGAAGCTGTCAGCCCCGGGGTGGGGATGTGGGTGGGGATGTGGGTGAGGTGCGGAACACCTATAGGGTTCGAGTGGCCTCTTGCCCCTCAGGTTACCAGTTCAGGGCTGGCTGGGAACATCATGCTCAGCCGATGGATGACTTCGGTGAAAATCCTCAGCCTCCCACAGCAGTCATGGCAACTGCACTCGGTTACAGAAAGTCAGCTCCGCAGTGCACAAGACTATCCTGTAGTTGGGTCATGTGTGAGGAGGGTTCCTCAATTGGAAACTCATGATACTAAGGTACTACTAATACAGCCCATGTTCCCCTGCTTCATGCAGGGCTGGCTAACCTCAGCCTGCCTTGCCATGTTCCTGTGCATCCAAACCCTCAGGGTCTTTCCCATGTTTGTTTACACCCTCAGAGCCCTTGCTAAACAGTGCTCAGTGTCCCTCAGGTAGGAATTGTTCTCAGGGTTAGAAGCAGCAGTTGGCTCAGGTGATTCTTACTGTTCTCGCCTCTCTGTGGGGACACATTACAGTGCTGCTTGCTTCAGGGGCTGCTCTTTGCATCATCAGAAGAAACTAGTCCCTGAATGTACTATGTAAACAGAAGTTACTGGTTTGGTGCCTCCTCCAAGAAAGGAAGCAGATGGCCATTTTCTCTGTGAAGAGCCTAGACTAGGTCCATTTCTGAAATGCTTTGTGTACACAGCACTGTTGGCTAGCACCAAAAAGAAAGATGGGATTTATTTTTTCCTAGACCTGTACTTTCCTATTGCAGTCTTCCATTTCTGTCTTCCTTCAGAATAAAAGTGCCTCTTTCTACATAACTCATTTCTTAATTAAATTGGTTCCAATGTCCTCATCTCTCCCAGAATGCTGGAATTAAATGCTAATTTTGGCAATTAACATAAACATTTGACTTAAGCAGCAGGTATTTCCTTGTTCTCTGTGAAGTTCCATTGTCTGCTTGCCGCAGCTCTGACTCACTCATTTATTACTGTGAATTATTCTGTCTACTTGCTGTTGTCTGCCTTCTGGCCGATCTACTTTTCATCGGAGAAAGGAATAAACTTCAAGTCTATGAACTGGGCTTTCTGTAAGTAGGAATTGGTTGGGGAAAATACATTGGAAGTGGCAATAAAATGAGATTTCACGATAATTGACAGTTGACCTTTATTTATGTGGCAGTTTTGTACTCCACTCAGGTAAGATTACTTCAGACATTCAGTCTTGCAGTCCTTGTGAATACAAGATGTGATTGAAAAATACAATGAGCATTTTAAAAATTAACTACAGTAGAAGGTACATTGCCATAAACCCCTCAAAATATTCCCCCTCACTTCAAATGCACATCCCATTGGTCTTAACCACTTTTTTTTTTTCCTTACCACTTTCTGAAGCAGTTCTAGAAGTCATCTTTCATGTCTAATTGTGATGTCATGGCTGCTTCAATATCTTTTTGTGTGTGTTTTGGTTTTTTGACAGAGGGTCTCACTAGTTCAGGCTGGTCTTGAACTCACTGTAGCCCAGGCTGGCCTCAAACTGTCAGTGATCCTCCCTCCTCAGCCTCCTGAGTGCTGGGATTATAGGCAAGCACCACCACACCCACCGTGCCTCAATATTTTGAACTGATTCAAAATGTTTATTTTTCATGGTCATTTTGACTTTGAGGAAAAGCCAGAAGCCACGCGATGCCAGATGTGGGGCATAAGATGAATGAGGAGGACACCGTTGGTTTTACAAGCCAGCATTCCCACTGGATGGCACTTGGCAGCAGCCTCCACCATATTTTTAATTGGATATTTTTTCATTTTTAAGAGTGTATGTTTGCAGTACATAGTGATTACATTCTTCATCATGGAGAGTTAGTACATGGACATAACACATCTTTGTTCTTTTTACCATATTTTTATCACTTTTTTTTAAGGACTCATAAAAGGACTTCTAGTACTACTTCAGAAAGTGGCAAAAATGATAAGTGAGGTGAGGGGTAGTATTTTGAGGGGAATTAATGGCAATGTGTCTTTTAGCACAATAACTTTTTAAAAAATTCAATATTCACCATGTATTTCAACCATACCTTGTAAATACATACTTTGACTCCAGATTCTGAAACATGATCATAACATTTGCGTGATACTCCATAAGCCAGTTCCTAGTCAGCACAGCTGGAAATGAAGTTCCTGGAAAATAAAATCAGCCTCATGTGCTGAGATACTTCAGGGGAGCCTTGAACATCGCAGTAGTTTATGCTGGATCCTGAGGTGAGATCAGGAAGGCTTTGACCTGAGTTCTCCAAATATCCTATAGGCCTAGATACAGCAAGTGTATCTTTCAGGGGAGAAAGTTTTTTTTTTTAACAGTTTCTATCAGTTTTAAGAATTTCTATCACTTAACACAATTCAGGGGCCAGGGATTTAGCTCAGTGTTTCCAGCCCCTGCTTCACAAGCACAAGGTCCTGAGTTCAATCCCCAGTACCAAAAAAAACAAAAACAAAAAAACCCCACAGGTATTTTAAAAACAGTGAGAAACACTGAATTAAAGTTACCTCTCAGTTATGTCCACATAAGGACTGTTGCACCAGAGCAGAGTCCCTCACTGTCCTGGGTACTCCCGGTCACGAATAGGATACACTCAAGATTAGAACATTTGTTTTTGACACAGTGAAAGCTTTATAATAGCATGGGAGGAAGAGTGATGAGCTTGCCTTACAACCAAGAAAGTATATCAAATCTGGTCTAGAAAAATTCACACCAAGACTTCTTAAAACCATTAAAATGGCCGCCTACTGTATTCATTTAAGTCAAACAGCAGAAGGTAAAGTTGCTGAGAATGATTCAAAGTATTATAAGAGGTAGTCTGGGATTGTTTGCTATTTTAAATCTCTTCCACTAATTTAGATTCGACTTTATTAATTTTTTACTGGGTTTTTTTTTTTTTTTTGGTTACCGGGGATCAAACTTTCGAGGCAGGCGGTGGAACCACTGAGCTAAATCCCTGGCCCCCTTTTACTGTTGTTTTAAAATTGCTCCCCTTGGAAGAAAGTATCTCCCCGAGTGAGAATCTGATTGCAATGACTGATAACGTGTATGAATCTGTACATATGCTATGTATATGTATGATTCAGCTTGTTTCTACTGTGATACTATTTTTTTTTTGTTTTTGGTACCGGGGATCGAACTCGGGACCTTGCGCTTGTGCGGCAGGCGCCGGAACCACTGAGCTAAATCCCTGGCCCAAGTAGTTTTCTTTTCTGATGAAACTCTGGAGGAATGGAAACATGGTGAGAACAAGAAATTATTAGTATTTCATTACTGTTGTTTGTAAACTTCCCCTAAAGCACCCTGTTCACAATAACAAGGGCTTTACAGTTAAAGGAGCTCATGTGACATGGACCCAGCCGCTGTTATCACCAAACTTCCAAACCAATCCTAGGAGTGGCTTCCAGGTGGGAGCCACAGGCCAGTGCTGCACTATTTCTGAACCAAAGCTTTGCCTTTGGTTATTCTGGCCTTTCCTAAATGAGCTGGGTCCATCCTTGGGTTTTGACTGTGTCCCTAGGAAAGGGATGTTAGCTGCTGCATTAGAAGGTTGTTTTTTTTTTTTCTTTTGGTACTGGGGATTGAACTTGGGTCCTTGCGCTTGAGCAGCAGGTGGGGAAACCACTGAGCTAAATCCCTCGCCCTATAAGTTTAACAGCACTTTCATCCTTGAAGCCTGTTCTCTTCAGATGCAGCTTCCAAGCATGGAGAGGGCTGATGGAAAACTGCAGATATAAGGCTGTTAATATAACAAAGAAGAACTTCAAGCACACCATCAGCTTACAGGTTTTTTTGTTAAAGCTTTCATTTATTAGAAAGAAAAAACATATTTAAGTACCTGATTTTGGAAAGTCATTGACATGAGCCTTTACATCACCAGTCACAACATTTAAATGCCTATGGCCCTTGAAGCAAAAGGACCAAGCTGAAAAAGTTACACACCTACATATTGAGGTTGGAGTTTCTTATAGTTTAAAAACAGCACCTTAGTCCAGAACTCTGGCATCTGGTTTTACACAGCACGATTCGCTTTCGTATTTAGATGGTTCGTTTTGAGGGAAATTCCTCCCTTGTAAGGGATGTGTGCATTCTCCCTCCACACCTCGCCTTGCTGTCCTCAAACTGCCTGCTGTTAAGACCATGTCCCAAGGTTGTACTTTAATAAACAGCAACTTTTTTTTAACAATAAAAAACTTAAGTGTGTTTCTTTTCTTCTGCATTACAGTCTGCTTTTCAATTTAATTTTCAAGTGAGAACCTGTACAGATGAAATAAGATAAGGCACAAGGTACAGATGTAGGAGGTGACATGAAACCTGTTAAATATCACCAAGATTTCATTATTTTATTCAACTACATCAATGCAGATGCTTCTCAGGAAGTAATCAGCTTAAAATATCCTGAGGACAGGGAGAAAAGGTGACTGTCCAGTGCCTGTCAGGGTGAGGCATCTGTTTTCATGGCTGTAGTACCTTCTTGCTGTCACCATGTCAAGTTTTAGCCAGTTGTGCTTCTGCAGAGCCATCTGTTCAGTTCATCTCCTAAGCAAGAGAAGAAAAGCAGACTAAGCCAGCCGAATTCACAAACCAGATTCCATGCTTACCAACACCAGTGCCACAAGCAACAGCAGTGAAGCTGGGGCTAGTGCAGAACACACCCTGTCCACAGCCTGCACCCTCCCTTTTGCTACATGAGGCAGCTGTGAAAACGGGGTTCTGGCTGCGGAGGACTCATTCACCGAAGGTGTCCAGGGCCCTCGCAGAGTTTGGAGGGACCCAGACCCTCTGAGCCCACCAGTGTCTGATGACGCGTGAGTACAGACTGCTGGGACACCCTGCCCTTGCTCCTCTTGGAAATGGTGGTTGGTGAAAGCTGTCTAGGAATTTTCTCGGGCTGACCTCCTTCCAACAGTTCAGCTTGGTTAACCCCCGATTTAAGATTTATATTCACCTTCCTATTTGTAGATGCCTGTATAACTGAAGGATGACACAGAGGGAATGCTTTAGGGCCGATCAGTAACTTAAAAGGGGCAGATACTATTTTCTTTAAAAGTTATGGATGCCCCAGTAATGGTTCTGACTTATAAAAATCTCACTCACTGATACTTTGGAATTGGCAGATAAGGTGCACACACTCACCTTCCTTTAGGGCCCATGACACTGAGGCACCCTGGGACTTGAAGGCTGGCTGGCTCTTCTTGGGCAGTGCCATGAAGACTGAGACTCGGCACACAAAGGGCAGCTGTACTCCCTGATTAAGCGATTATGGGAGAGCTCAGATAGGCTTCCTGCTTTTTGATTATTCCTTTGGTCTCTCCTTGTGATCCTTGTTAAGGATTTTTCTTCCCCAGTACTAGAGATTGAACCCCAGAGCACTTTACCACTGAACTACATCTTCGGCCCTTTTTATATTTTTTATTTTTTGAGACAGGGTCACAGTGAGTCACTAAATTGCCTAGGCTGGGCTCAAACTTGGGATCCTCCTGCGTCAGCCTCCTAGAGTGTTAGTTAGGATCACAGGTGCACATCACCACATCTGGCAGTAAGAAATTTAAATTACACTTAATGTTTGTGACAAGGTGAGGCTTTTGAGAGCAGCCCTGGGACACTCAGCCGGCAGCCACTTTGCCATGTGTTACGACTGCATTACAAGACTGTGTCTTCACAGCAGGCTTCCTTGTGGTCTGATGGTCCAGGCAGAAGGCTAAGAGAGGCCACAGCAGAGAGCCCTGCTGGGTTTCTACACCATAGAGGAGATGGTATGGCCAGGAGGCAGAGGCTGAGGGACCCCATGAAATAGCAAGGTGCTGGCGTCACTGGTACTTACATTTCTGATTAAGTCCCTCATATAGGTGAGCAGGTTCTGGTTAATAAAGTTCACTGTTGTGTGAAAGATGTCACGGAGCAAGGATGGTGTGTGATCAGCCACCTTTCTGACCAGCAGCATGGCCGTAATCAGCTTAGCCTTCTCCTGCTCCATGTCTGTAGCATAGGTCTGCATCACCTCCTCCACAGTAGCAGCCAGGTAGTGCCTTCTGCCCTGCACGGGGTAAGGACAAGCAGTTTACTAATCCCTTCCTCTTGAGAGAAAGGCCCCGGTGATAAGCACGAAGAAGCACTGCAGAGGGAAGTACTGATTCCGTAGCGAAGGGTACTGGGTGGACAGCACGACAGACAGTTCAGTTCTGAGATGCCACAGGAAGAGGAGACCACTGCCAGGAGGGGACACTCGCTCAGCAAATGCATACCAGCTATTTAATGGAATAAAAGGAGCCTAAGTCATCCCCTGCCCCTAAGGCACCTAAAGAATTAGCTAACTATTCAGATGTCTTCGGCCCATCTTATTGGTGCACCTAGCTAAAAGGCTCCTGTGACCCCTCAAATAGAGGCAGACCCCAGACCACAGGACCTGAAAGGACCTTCAAGCTCAACGACTCACAGGCAGAATTACCCCAGCAGGAAGGGTCTCCCACTGTGCTTCTCTGAGGAGGGCACCGAGCCATGGACTGGTCTCTGGCTCCCCCACGCTACCAAGCAGGTGGTACAGGTGTGGTTGCTATCTGTGTACTGACCCATGAAGCCAGGAAGTGTGGCAGGCTAGACTGTCACTTTTCCAGGCACACATGGGTGACTTAAAAGTTCTCTACTGGCTTCTCTGACTCCCCAGAACTGACTCTGGAAGAGTCAGATACACTTGGTTAGTCTTTCTGGAGGCTTTTATCCTTAAGCTCTGGACCCCAACTATGGTACAGGTTTCCTAAATCTCAACTAACTCCATGCTCTCCTTTCCAGTCCTCTGGTCAAGGCTCCAGAGGGAGAGTCAGGAAGGGCTCAGCTCACAGGGCGCTGGTCTGCTGAGGAGAGACAGAGGACAGGTTTTGCTGGCTCAACTGACAGAGGAGAAAGTCCTCGGCCTTCCCAAGCAACCAGGGAGTCCTACCCATCACTGACCTCCTCCGACAGGCCTGGGTTCCTGAAATGCATGGCCAGCTGGTTCACCAGTCCAGGCTGGATGCTCCGGTCCAACTCATCCCCGATTTCCGCGAGATGCCAGGCAATACTGTGAATTATTTCTTGATTTTCAGAATCTGAATATTCAGGCAGAGGGCAGCAAAGACCAAGAAGATTCAGAAAATGGCCCTGTTCAACACCCTTATTCCACCCCAGCCCACCCTAGAATCAGACATGGCTCCCACTCTGGAGCAAGACCAGCTCCACAGCCTGCCCCAGCTGTGCTCTCCGAGCCTGAGGCTGCCGTGTGGGGTTGCAGGGAAAGGCCTGAGTGTGCAGCCTGGACATGTGGGCCTCTCCCTGAACAGTCTCGGCAGCCACAGAGAAGAGTGGGTCTGCGGCGCTGTGGCCTGGGAGTCCTGGGGACAAGCACGGCAGTGGCCTTCACGGCTGCCAAGTTTATGTGGCAGCACCTCACAGGTGCTGGGCTCCCGAGCCTTCAGCAAAGAGGAAGGTGGCTGCCGAGTCCTACCTCTGCCACGCCGAGGCCGGCAGCATCCTCCCAACCTCCTCATGGGGGTAGTGGCGGAGCGCACTCCTCTCCCCAGGCTTCTCCAGCACCCACCGGGCCCTGTGTGCTCTGCGCCACCTCGCTCACTAGGACTCCCATTTACCCTCTGTCCCTCCCCGTGGGCTGCCTGCGTGCCACCCACCTGCCCCTGGCTCACCTCCTCTACTCAGTCTTTTCTCCCTTTTTTTTTCTTGACACTTGCTATATATTTTACCTATTTCTGCTGCCTGACACCCCCACCTGAGTATAACCTTCCTAAACTCTTTAATCTCTTTGGCTTGCTGTCAGCACTTAATCCATGGAGCCAAGGCACAATGGTGCACACTTGCAATCCCAGCTGCTCGGGAGGGTGAGGGAGAAGGATCCCAAGTTTGAAGCCTGCCAGGCCAACTTCAGGAGGCAGGAAAAAGAGTGATTACTTGGGATTGAGGACCTCCTTAAATCCTGTGCTCTGGGTGTCTCGTTTCACTGCAACTTTTTAATTTTGTTTGTTTGAGACAGGGTCTCAGTATGTAGTTCAGGCTGGCCTTGAACTCACTGTGTAGCCCAGGCTGGCCTTGAACTCCTAGAGATTCTCCTGCCTCAGCCAGCACCCCCTGCCCCCAGTGCAGGGATTATAGGCGTGCACCACCATGCCCAGCAGTGCACTGCAGTTTTAGTGGGTTTTGTTTTTGGTTTGTTGCTATGCTGGGGATGGAACCTAGGCCTCAGGCAAGTGCCCTGCCACAGGGCTGCACCCTGACACTCACCGCTGGATACTACATCACTTCTGCTTAAGTGACAAGTCATGCCCTAAGCTCCAATTCCCTTTGACTTGTCTTCTTCAACTGCCTTTGCACATTCTAGCCAAACTCAACTATCCACTGTACCTTTCCCAGGCCCCGGGCCTTCCTATCCTTGGGTGTGCTGACGTGACAGCCATTCTCTCTTTCCAGAGAACAATACTGTACTACCCTCCAAGGCCCAGCTCGACTGCACTGCGGCCAGAAAGCTTTTCCTGATTCCCTACAGAGCAACAAGGACCCCTCTTCTTCACAGCTCCCTTGGTACCGCCCTGTGCACCCCTCATCTGCCAAAGCCTTCCCATCTTACTCCAGTGACTCACACCCATGTCCTCCCTTCCCTTCAGTCACCAGCTCAGGGACATCAGCAATCACAGTGGATTCATCTGTGCCCAGGCAGCCAGAGCCTCTGTTCTTCCTCTTGTGCCCAAGACTCAGCAGGTATTTAGTTTACATCCCAATTTCTACCAGAGGGCTGGGAAGGTTAAGTGTACAGCCCCGTAATCACTTGCACAAATGCTAAGGGGTCAAGTCAAGACAGGTTCTGCAGCCTAAAGACAAAGTCTGCCTTTGACGGAGACCAGTGTAGAGACAGAGCGAGAAACACACAGGGGAGGACTCTGGCCACAGTCTGCTGCAGCAGTTCCTGACAACAAAGCCTCCCTGCCCGTGCCTGCCCCAAGTCTCTAAAGGGGACCAGGGAAAGGATATACTGGCTGAATTCGAAGGCAGAGAAAGTCTTTGGTACACCAAGATAGTGGAGAGTACTGGGGAACATCCTCATTCACTGGGCCGAAGGCGGGACCAGCTGTTGGTCTCCCCATGGCCACCAGAGGGCAGTGCAGCCTCTGTGCAGGAGATTCGGGCAGCTGGCCTTCAGGCCACGGGACCAGGGCTGGCTGGTGAGGCGGGATGGCCTGAGGCCAGGTCCCTGAGTCACTGTGGGCGTTGAGGGCAGTGATTCCAACCAGGGTCAGAATCTCCTAGGGAGTCTTCCCCAGAAAATATGCTGACTGTAACAGCTAGAATAGGGCTAAACAAAAGTTCCTCGTTGCTATGGTTTATGATGCAACCTAAGCTCCAATTCCCTTTGACTGAACTTCTTCAACTGCCTTCCCACATTCTAGACAAACTTAACTCTCCACTGTACCTTTCCTGGGTGTTCGTGGGTTCAGAGGTGGGGCTTCTGGAAGGTAAGTGCAGCAAGAGGGCTCTAACTTCAGCAGTGGATTAACCCACTGATGGATTCATAATTTGACAGCACTATCAGGAGGTGATAAGAACAGGAGGTGGAGCCTGGCTGAAGAACTGGTCCTGGGGTGTGACCTTGGTGACTGCACCCTGTGCCCGCCCCGCCCCCTTCCTCCCCAGCTCTTTCCATCTCTCCCTGCTTCCTGGCTGCCGAGAGGTGAGCCGCTTTATCTGGCACACCTCTCACCACGTGTTCTGCCACACTCCGACCCAAAGCAACGGAGCCAGCTCCAGAAGAGGCCCAGCCTAAGCCCAGGCCCCACCTCTTGGTGAAAATTATACTTGGTGTAGCTTTGGAGGAATCCAAACAGCAGTTGGATTTGGGGCCAGTCATCTAGTGTCCTCATCTAGAAATGAGGTGCAGAATACGTCAATGTCTAGTTGTAGTATAGGTACTCACAGATCAGAACATATATAAAAATAAAAAAGTAAGATTCTATACAGGATACAAAAATTACTATGAAAAACCTGGAGGGCCAGGGATTTAGCTCAGTGGTGCCACCACGTGCCTCGAAAGTGCAAGGTCCCAAGTTCAATCCTCAGTACCAAAAAAAAAAAAAAAATCTGGGCCTCACAGGCCTGGGAGTTCACCTAGGGCTGCACAAGGTGGCATGGGGCTGTGTTAAAAGTTGCCCGTGGGACCTTGCCAGCAATGCCCAGACTCACCAAATCAGAATGCTCAGATGTGGGACCCAGTACTCACTACCTTTTAAAGCTCCCTAGGTCACTCTGTGTTACATAAACCCAAGTTGGAGATTCCTTTGAGTTATATAATCCAAATCAATGGTTTCTAGTCTTTGTACAGAGTATTGAGAAATCTGGTAAAAACACTATTCTGTATTGGCATAGATAATCAGGACTAACACCTGAAGGAACACTGTGGCTCAGGAGGGAAGAACTTTCCAAGTCATCCCAAACAGGCAGATAATGAGGGTGCACCACAGGAAGCAGTCAAGTACAGAACAAACAACCCCAGGACGAGGACACATACAGTCCCCTGAAACTTCGGGGTGGAGATGAGCCCAGAGGTCCCGTCCAGCCCGTAGGGTCTGTACCTTACTGGTGACAGGCAGCAAGGACCAGATCTGGGGCTAAGGAGGCGCTCCCGGTGCCTACCTCCCTCTCTCCTTCCCCCGTAGAGGAGGCGGCTGCCCCGATTACCATCCGTCTGCAGTTCATCATCGTGGTCTGCCTCCAGGCAAACTCCAACAGGGAGTTCCTGGCCCAGTGCCTCCAGCTCTGGGTGGAAATTAGAGTTGTTGCGGGTGTGGAGGAAGGAATACACCAGCAGGTTTGTGATGCTCTCGTCCCTGAAGCCTGCGCCATTGCCAACCTAGGATGAAACGGAAGTCAGGGAGGCTGCTGGGAACCTGGGTCGGCACGTGCCCTCCCTGCAGCTGAGCTGGCCTGAAAGAACCTCACTGGTCCAAAAGAGCAGGACAATCCCATGGACACCAGAGCCCTGGAAGAGAGCTCAGTGGGCAGAGACTGGGCTGCGGCACCAGCTTAAAGCAGTGCCAGTGGAAGCTCTAATTCTGCAGGAGACGATTTGCTTGAACTCCTGAAAACACGTGGCTGGGGTGAGCTTCCATAGGTTAAGCAGGTCCACAGGCTGGTCCAGGGAAGTCAAGCAAATATCATCCCTTAAATGCCATCCTTGCATTTACATGCTTTTTGCCAAGATCCTTTGTCTGCTGTGCTTCTAGCACTTAATGGTTCTTTCTTTTCCGTCACCTCCTTGTGATGGGCCCAGGATGATACTGGGCAAACAGAAGAGTCTCAGTAAGTTCTGGGGAGGGTGACCATAGGTCAACATCTGCCTCTGGGCTAGCTGGGCCTACTTCTGGTGGGTGTGCCCTTAATCAAAACCCCACAGAGAGCCATCAGGGTGGCTCCTGCTTGGCCTCTGCCTGTGGATGTCAGTCTCCATCTCCATCTGCATCTCCGTAAGTAGCACCTGCAGCCACAGCTCAGTTCTGGGCAGAAGTTGTGGGACCAGGTGGAACATTTCTGGTGCCTTGACCATGTTTGGAGCTGGATGATGGGCAAAGTGAGTACTGGGAGCAGCAGCATCTCTGAGTGCCCAGAGCAATTGCAGCTCTAGAGTGAAAGAGGAAATACAGGGCTTGGAAGACTAGGGTTTCTAAGATCCACCCAGACAAATGCCAAATATTCACATGGGGCTGTAAGAGAAATCGAGAAAGATGAACCTGTAGGGAAAAGGTCCTTTCGTCTTTTAAGTCTTTAATAATTTACACTAGAGGGCCGGGGATTTAGCTCAGTGGTTCTGGCGCCTGCCTCACAATCGCAAGGTCCTGAGTTTGATCCCCGGTACCAAAAAATAAATAAATAATTTACACTAGAGAAACCAAAAAACTTTCAGAGGACTACTTTTACAAGGGAAATTGTTTTAACCAGACAAAATACTGGGGATGTAGCTCGGTGGTAGAACCTGTGCTTAGCATATGTGTACAAAACATATATAAATAGGTAAAAGAGAATAAAATGGTATGTATATTGCTCTTCAGCCTTTACTTCCTCAAAATTAACCAAAAAGGAAAAAGTATGTAAAAGTTCTACTGTATCCAATCATTGCAATTCTTGCATAAGACACAGGCACAGCTGAACAACTCAAACATACTCATTCCCGCCCCTGGACACAGCCTGGTCAGAAGAGAAGGGAGGAGGATGGGGGCAGTGTTAGGGGTTGAGTTGTGCACCCCCAAAAAAGAAACACTCAAGTCCTAACCCCAAGCACCCAGAAATGGGATCTTCTTTGAAAAGGGTCTTTGCAAATGTAATCAAGTTAAGAACCTTAACTTCATTAGAACAAGTCCTAGATTCCACGACTGGCATCTGTGTAAGAGGAGAGGGAGATTTACACACAGGGACACCTAGGGCAATGCCGTGAGAAGACAGAGGCTGAAACAAGCGTGACACATCTCCTGGCCAGGAAGCACCAAGCCCGAAGGAGAGAGGCAGGGAACAGACCTCCTGCAGAGCCTCAGGCTGGCGCCCTGATGTCAGGCCCCAGGCCCCAACCATAAGGCAGTAAATCCCTGTTGCTTAAAGCCACACCGTTGGAGGTACTTCCCTCCAGCGCCCCTAGGTCTCTGCCCCAGAACTTCCTTCCAGTGCAGGGTTGGCAGGCAGCTTTCCAAAGTCGGGGTGCGGAGCTGCAAGTGCCGCCAGCTGGGCTGGATGCGGTTATCCAACACCAGTTCAGGGATCTTTCTTTTCCACATAAAATAAAAAGAACAGATGTGGCTGGAAGGAAAGAGAGAAGGATGCCAATGAGAGAGGAGGAAAGGTCCAGAAGGGTTCAGTAGGAGTCAATGGGAAAGCAGAGCCCACAAACCTGCATGGACGGCATGGACCACACAACCGGAAGTGGCCCTGGAGATACAGAGTGGTTTTTTTTGGTACCGGGGACAGAACTCGGGACCCTCTGTTTGCGAGGCAGGCGGTGGAACCACTGAGCTAAATCCCCAGCCCATGGAGAGTATTTTATTCCAAGAGCAAAGCGAGCTTGCCAGAGGCTGAGTGTGGACCTATGCCCTTATTTGATCTTCTAGTGATAAAAAGTTAAAGTGAATGCCTCAGAAAAAAGATTTGATAGTTACTTGTCTTTTTAGGCAGAACTTCCCCCCCCCCTTTGGTACCAGGGATTGAACTCAGGACCTTGCATTTGCCAGGCAGGCACATATTTGTCTTTTTAGATCACAGGGGAAAATACGTTGAGAGATACAAGCAAGACAGGAAATCTTGCTGGATATATTACAAAATTGGTATGAAAGAGGCAACAATAATTTTCATAATATAAAATCAATTCCAATGCAGAAAAAAAGATGGAAACCACCCAATGTGGTTGTTTTCCAAGGTGTTTAATAAACTGGAGTAAGTCATGTTGGTGCCCAAACCTGGCCAAGACAGCACCCAAAACAATCTCACTCTGTTTTTCCAAATAGTAAAGGAGAGAGAAAGAGAGAGCAAGTGAGCGAGCTATAGCGTGGATGAACCTTGAGAACATTATGCTGAGTGAAATAAGCCAGCCACAGAATAACAAATACTGACTTACATGAGGTCCCACCAGGCAACTCCATGGAGACAGGAAGTGGAGTGGCACTGCCGTGTGGCAGGGGACAGGAGTCAGGGTCTAATGGGGACAGTTTCAGCTGAGGCAGATGAAAAGCTCTGAGAGATGTGGTGATGGCTATGCCTTTGACCACACGGATGCATTTAAAGCCCTTGAACTGTGTACTTAAAAGTGGTTAAATGGGGCTGGAGATTTAGCTCAGTTGGTTCCGCTACCTGCCTCGAAAGCGCAAGGACCCGAGTTCAATCCCCGGTACCAAAAAAAAAACAGAAGTGGTTAAATGGTAACTCTTTTCTATTCTTTTCTTTCTTGGCAGGGTGGGGCAGTGCTGAGGCTGGAACCCGGGCCTCACACATGCTAGGCAAGTGCTCTACCACTGAGCCGCACCTCCAGGTCAAAACGGTGACTCTTATGTTATACGTATTTTACAAACCTTTATTAAAATTGTAGAAAAAATAAGAAATATAAATATAAAAATAAAAGAAAGTCATAAATATCTACGACATGATGAAAACTGCATTTTTGTTTTGTTTTGAGACAGGGTCTCGCTATGTAGCCTAGGCTGGCCCTGAACTTGTGATGGTCTTGCCTCGGCCTCCTGAGTCTGGGACCACAGGTGTGTGCCACCTTGCTGTGCCCAGCGTAGGATGACAGCTCTGATGGTGAAAAAACGCCAGAGAAATCTGCTCACGGTGCAGCGGAAAGCCAGCTCTGTGGGACCTGGGCCAGCTGCCTAACCTTGGGGTCTCTGCTTTCTCGCCCTGAAGTTGAGGGGAGCAGTCGTGCCAACCAAGAGGCTGGGCCACCTGAGGGAAAGGGTGCTCCTTATCCCCAGCCGCTCTGCGAGGAGGATGTGGCAGTGCTGCTTCCGAGTGGCACGGCCCTAAAGAACGAGGTCATGGAAATAGCTGGGGGGGGGACCCTCGGCACTGGTTGGATGCCGCTCTCTGTGACGGGAGCGAGTGGGAGCTCCTCACCTCTCTGCTGCTCAGGTGACCGGCATCCCCCAAACCCACATGTCCTCCCCTCCAGCTTCCAGGCTAAAAGCCAAGCCCTGCCATCCTGCTGGAAGGTGACTCCACACCCTACCCCGAGACCCTGCCTGGTGCAGGACTGTGACAATCTCAGGGACTCCGACACTGGGATTCTGCGGATACTGGAGGTTCCACACTTGCGGAGCTGTCAAGTGGCGCTGGGCTGACCAGCGTGGACCACGCACAGTCAAGGAACAAGCTGGGGCTCTCCCTTGCCCTCCCCCACCCCAGCCGCTCCTCCCCAAACCCAGCACCGACCTTGGCGTCCATGGCACCGGCAGCAGAGCCCCAACTCTCCTCTGGCTCACAGGTTCAGAGGGTTCGGAGGGTCGGTGGCCTGAAACAGGAAAGACATGGAAGGTGGCTTAGCCTGCAGGGACACCCTTGGGGCCCCCTAGGGAGGAGGGAGAAGGCCGGCCGGAGCAGCTGAGGTTCCCAACGCCCCGCCCAGCTGGCCCCAGTGGTGCTCAGCCTGGGTCCTTGCTCTCCCCTTTGACACAGAACCCGGTGAGCAAGCTCTGTGTTTTCCTCACTCCAGAAACTGCCGGGTCCCTTGGCGTCCCCAGGGCCAGTCCTACAGAGTCTGACTGACATACCTACATTAGTGAGCAACTTTCCTACGAGAATAAACTCACTTAATAAAAAGCGTACCTAAAAGTTCTCAGGGAGTTTGTCTCAGTATTACTGTGACCACTATCACACCCATTCCCTCCTTTCAACCGCAAACACACAACCCATTTCTTTAATGAGCTTTATCATCTCTTTCATTCTACTCAACAATGCTGAGCAGGCAGGCAAAGTGTGGTTTGGGGTAAGTTTTTGAGGCCGTAGAACTAGTTAGTGATGTGCAGGAGGGAGCAGGTCAGTTCCTTCTACCAGGCCATGTGGCTTCAAAGGGCAGATAAGAAAAATAGTTAATCTATAAAGAAAAGACCTTCTGTAAAATGATTATAAAGAATGTATTGCGGGGGGGTACTGGGGATCGAACTGGGGACCTTGAACTTGCGAGGCAGGCGGCAGAACTGAGCTAAATCTCCGGCCCTATAAAGAATGTATTTAGCCCAGCATGGTGGTGCTTGCCTGTAATCCCAGAACTCTGTGAGGCTGAGGCAGGAGGATTGTGAGTTGGAGCCCTAGAGTTACAGCTCAGTGGACCTGGGTTCAATCCCTACAACCACATACACACACACAATTTTTTGGACAATTACACAAAAGATTTCCATGACACATAAGCCAACTTAAATAACCCATCATAACCAACTGACTGGACAAAAGGCAACTGGAGACTAAGTTTAAAACTTTGTCCACACAACTCAAAGTAATACAGCTACTATGGAGGCCAGAATGGAGAAGCCTCAAAAACCTAAAACTAGGGCTGGGGATGCAGCTCAGTGGTGCCGCACCTGCCTGGCAAGTGCAAGGTCCTGAGTTTGATTCCTGGTACAGGAAAACAAAACAAAACAAAAACAAAAACCCTAAAAACAGAACTATCGTAAGATCCAGCTACCCACTGCTGGGTATTTATCCAAAGGACACACAAGAGACACCCATGTTCCCCGCAGCACTACTCACAACAGCTAGGATGTGGAATAACCTAGGTACCCATCAATGGATGAATGACAACATAAAAAAGAATGCAGTAAAGTGGGTGAAATTAGAGGACAATCTGTAGAGTGAAGCAAATCAGACATAGAAAGACAAGTATTGTTTGTTTGTATGTTCTACCCTATGGACACCAAAAAGGTCAATTTGGGATGAAAGTGCAGCTCCATGGCAGAGCACGCCATGTGTGAGGCCTGGGCTTCCACCCCAGCACCACAAACTCAAAGCCAGCTCAAAGGCAACAAAAGGCAAGAAAGGGCACAGCGGTCAGAATATCAAACTGTAGGGCTGCGGTTCAGTGGCAGTGCGAGTGCTCAGCTTGTGTAAAGTTCTGGATTCAAACCCCAGCACCAAAACAAAACAAAACAAAAACCAAATTTTTAAAAAGGGCTGGGGTGTAGCTCATACTTAGAGCCCATACTTAGTATGTACAAGGCCCTGAGTTCAGTTCTCTGGCACAATAGATGAATGATAGATAGATAGATAGATTGATTAAAAGGGCTGGACTCACTTGCATAATTTGTTAATTTCTATAGGTCCAGCTCAGCCGCCTTATGTTTCTTTTGCAAACACAGAACTGTGAAGTACGGACCAACTACTAAGGCCACAAATGCAAATGAAAATTACTGGCCTTTAGGGTCTCACTATGTACCCCAGGCTGGCCTCGAACTCGCAGCAATCCTCCTGCTTCAGCCTCTCAAACGCTGGGATTACAGGCATGTGTACCACATCCTCTGAAAATTACTGGACTTTTAGAAGCCTCTATTACTTGCTACCCGGGGAGGAGGAAAACCCATCAGTTTCACCCTGAGTCCCTGTAAAAGTTTGCAGGATTCCTCTGTGGAACAAATGAAGGCAACCAAGAGAGAAGGCTGGGGCAACTCAACCTGAGCTGGCCGTGAGGGGAGTCAGCCCCACAGATGCCACAACATGACAGAGACTCAAGGCAGGCAGAGGGAGAGCTGCCGAGTGGAGGGAAGACTCTATCGGATAATTTCAATTCCTTTGCATTTTTGTTTGTTTTTTGAGACAGGATTTTCTATGCAGTTCAGACTGGTCTTGAACTCACTTTGTACCTCAGGCTGGCCTTGAACTCACAGCAATCCTCCTGCTTCAGCCTCCCAAGTGCTGGGATTACAGACATGCATTACCACCCCAGCAATTCCTTTGCATTTACTTAAGCATGGTCTAGGAGCAAATATGTGATCTATTTTGGAGAACATCCCATGTGCAACTGAGAAGAATGTATATTCTGATGTTGTGAGGTGGAACACTCTGTAGATTATCTATTAAGTCAATTTGTTCAAAATTTTGGTCCAGTTCTAATATTTCATTGTTGGTTTTTTGTCTAGTTGATCTGTCTATTTGTGACAGTGGGGTGTTGAGGTCCCCCATTACAACTGTATTAGTGCTTATTTGATTTTTTGCGTCTGTTAATATTTGTTTTATATAGTTGTGTGCATTGGAATTCAGTGCATATATATTTATAATTGTTATCTCTTCCTCTTGTATTATTCCCTTTACAAGGATGTAGTGATCTTCTTTATCTCTCTTAATCAGTCTTGGCTTGAAATCCACTGTCTGCAAATAGAACAGCTACTTTTTTCTGGTTCCTGTTGCATGTAGTATTGTTTTCCACCCTTTGACTTTCAGTCTATGAATTTCCTTTTGAATTAAATGTGTTTCTTTTCTTCTCTTTTTTTTTTTTCAGTACTGGGGATCGAACTCATGACCTTGCACTTTCGAGCCAGGCACGGTGCCACTGAGCTAAATCCCCAGCCCTAAATGTGTTTCTTGTATGCAGCACATTGTTGGATCTTGCTTCTTTATCCATTCTGCCAGTCTGTTTCTTTTGATTGGTGAATTGAGACTCTTAACATTGATGGTTATAACTGATACATATTGACTTATCCTTGTCATGTTATTTTCCTGTTGTTGGCTTTCTTTTGTCCTCCTGTTTAATTTCTTGCCTTACCTGGTAAATTCATTCTGTTGAGCTTCATGGAGTTGTAATCATTGTTATCTCTTTCTAGAATATCCTTCAGAACAATTTAGAGTGCTGGTTTGGTGTTCATGAATTTCCTCAGGTGCTCTTTTCATGAAAGTATCTTATTTCTCCATCAGTTTTGAAAGATAGTTTTGCAGGGTACATCAATTTGGATTGGAGGTTGTTTTCTTTCAGGACTTGAAATACTTCACTCCAAGCTCTCCTTGACTTGAGGGTTTGTGTTGAGAAGTCTGCTGTGATTCTGATGGGCTTTCCTTTGTAGGTGATTTGTTTCTTTTCT